GTAGTAATAAACGAAAGTTAACGAAACGGATAGAAGAGAAAAGAAAATAGTAGAAAATAAAAATAAAACCGAATATCTGACTGATTGATTCCGATGGGGAACGGGGGGACGGGGATCAGGAGAGCGGGCTGAGCCTTACTTATCTTATTATTATGACCTCTTGACAGGACGGAGGTGTTCATTGGCCTTCTTTTATTTGGACATCCTGGTACGGATACTACTAGCTAGTTGCTTCAACAGGGTGCTTGCCTGTAGAGATGTAGAATTGTAGGGCGTTTTGAAGGGATATAGAAGAGGTGTTCGGACTGATTCTGTACGCACGGTGGGAGATGGGATCCTGTACGGAGTAAGCGTGGTAGCATTGAAATTGGATCGTATATGGTGTTTCTAGTAAAATTACAGCGGAATCAACCTTGGAAAAGAGAGCTTGGGCAATTGCTCAGGCCACCAAGAGAATTGATAGTAGTAGCTGTGGCTGCAGTTGTCAATGCATTAATGCCTTGCAAGTAAACAATCTCAACACAAAAATAATATGCACTGGAATGAAGACAGTAGTGAGTCAAACCAAGCAATCAAAACCTGACTGACTGACTGATTGACTCGACTAGTTATGATCAATTGGTCGAGATGAATATGTCTTACCCTTGACAGGGAGAAGAAAGAAAAGCGGGACAGGCAGGAGATCACGATTTGATAGACGGAGAAGAAGAAGCAAAACGGTTTGATGGTTCGCTCATTCAACAAGTGAAAAGAAAAAAAAAGAGAGAGATAGAAGGGGTTCCCTTTCCAGCAGTTTCTTTGCTTGCATTGCAGTTGCAGGACATTGCATGAGAGCGACAGACGGGATGTACATACATGATGTATGTATGTACGGCGGAAACCATAATAATAATAAAGAGGCTGTCCATAAGCAGTTAGGGATGACTATCAGTAGAGAAAGAGAGAAGAGGCGTCCTTGTACGACTCTTCTCTGTACTCCAGAGGCTGCTCGGGCTGTTCCAAAATACGTCCAGCGAAAGGGCTCTCGGTCCCTTCTCCCCTTCCTCCCCCTCTAGAACATGCGAAAGAGACAAGAGACATATTCCTCTTTAGTTAAGGTCTCCAGTGGGGGCTTTGTTCGGGATGTTTTTTTTTTCTTCTCCCTTTTTCTTTTCTTTTCCGTCGAAATTGAAAAAGAGATAAGATTCCTATCTGATCGACGGTGATCTGTCTCTCTGATCCGGCTATTCCTAAATAGGAGAGCAGTGTACTGCAAGCCGCAGGGGGAAGATGCAGGTATATAAAAGCCAGAGTAGGGGACGGGAAGATGGTTTGTGGATCTGGGTTTATAGATTGAATGTGCTTGGTTATCTGAGGCTGTTGCATGGTGTGCTTACCGTGGTGCTTCCTTGTCCTCCATTGGTTGCGGTGGGCGCAGAGGTCGCATAGTTTACACTCTGACTGGCATTATGGTTGCTGTTCGAGGTTTCCGCGTTATCATACGCCCTATGACAGTTACAGTAGTCAGTATGTTTCAATATTAGGCTTATCTCGTCGGATAATTGGAATATAGTTGTATGGTGCTGCCAGCTTGATGGTGAGATGCCGGTCCTTATCGGCGAGTTTCTCCTATCGACATACCGTATATAAGAGGTCTGATCAGAGGCAGCGGAGGCCAAAGCAGACAGTCCCGTAGCCGAAGGAGCGTACTCCGCCGCCGATGTCTCCGGATACTCGGCTGTTGCTGTTGTCGTGGCAGGAAAGGAATTTGGAGGAGGAGCTGTTGAGCTGGAATTATGGTAGGCTGTCGAGGACTCCGAGGCCTCAAACTTCATGGACGACGATCCATCGCCTTCCTGAGGCGACGTGAAGGCCGGAACATCTCGAACTTGCGAGGATGAGGACCGTAGAGCCGGGTCAATGGCGGATGTCCCGAGGGACAGGGGAGCTACTGCGGACGCCGTGGTGAACGATGTATATTGAGGCACCGGAGGCCTCAATCGCGGCAGAGAAAGGGAAGAAAAGGAAGGATAAAGGTAATTCGGATTGGGAGCGAAAGAGAGAGATAGGAAATGGGATATGAATGGGCTTTTTTGATGGTGGTTGAAGATGGCTGGAAGACGATGCAGAGCAAGCTGGACAAGGAAGACCAAAAAGATAAAGCGAAGTCGCGATAAAAAAAAAGTTGTTATCAGGACCGATAAGTTGATTAGTCATGTATGTATTTAGTGTAGTCATGTGCATTATCAGATGACTAAGCAGATTATTATTAATCTGACGTAACTTTTTTCTTTTTTCATTTACTTTGTTGTTCAGATCAAAAAAAACTAAAAGGCGTTTAAAGGGGGAAAAGGCCAGGCAAACGGATTTTCATCTCGCTCTCTCTTCTATTCCTTGCGTTGAGTCGAAGGTAGTGGCATAGTCTGTGGGCTGTGCTTGAAAATAGACCGTTCCGACAGAATAAGCAATGTTTTAGACCGCTGGTTTGCTGCATCAGGCTCTCGAGTTTCAAATGCTGGACAAGCGCGCTCTCTGCCTAACTGATAACAACTTCTTTTGACCACCACAGCCATGGCGCCAAAACACCGTCCGGCGACTTCGGGCTATGCTCGTCTCTCCCAGGCAGATGCCCATGAGTATCTTGATGAGTCTGATGACGAAAACCAGCGCCCGTTCCCATCGATATCGTCGAACTCCGGACGATTCGCCCCAATCCAGACACATAGCCTCAGACATGACAGCTCAGATGTATATTACAAGCGCCATCATGGACGAAACCGGGCTCGCAGCAACTCCTCTGGAGTCGATATCAAGGCAATCAATATGCGGTTGGAGAAATGGGCTGAAGAAATTGCCTCAAAGTTCAAGATAAACCGAGTACACGGCAAGACCTCCGAAGAAGAAGAACTTGAAATACACCACTCCGTCTTCCAGCCCTTGGACGGCATCCGGCCAGTCACAGCAGCATCACTAGAATCCGCTGACCAAAATAACAGTGGCCGAATGACAAAGGCTGAGTTCGAGCAGGTCGTGGACAGTGTTAGGACAGCCATCGAGCTCGGTGTCCACCCAAAGATGATCTCGCAAGGTAGCTCCGGCAGTTACTTTGCGAGAAATGCTGAGGGGAAAGTCGTTGGAGTGTTTAAGCCAAAAGATGAGGAACCCTATGCCTCGCGAAACCCGAAATGGACTAAATGGATACATCGAAATCTGTTTCCATGCTGTTTCGGCCGTGCTTGTCTTATTCCCAACCTTTCCTATGTTTCGGAGGCTGCTGCATATGTCATTGACACTCAATTGCGAACACATCTCGTTCCTTACACGGATATCGTCTACCTTTCTTCAAAATCATTCCATTATGACTTTTGGGACCGACGGAAAGCTTGGTATGGCAGAAGACCTTTGCCTCCTAAAGTAGGAAGCTTCCAGGTCTTCTTGAAAGGCTTCAAAGATGCAAATGTATTCCTTAGAGAGCATCCTTGGCCTGATCAACCAACCACCGGTTTCCGTGCTGAAGATGCTCCTCGCAGGAAAAAAAGAGGATGGAACGATACCTGTACACCATCTGGTGCCCAGTCTGACGACGAGGATGGCGATGAAAACCGCCGGATGCTGGGAGCAAATACACCCCAGGACAATTCGGGCCATCATAAATTCCATTGGACTGAAAACCTGAAGCAGGGCTTCCGAGAAGAGCTTGAGAAGCTCGTTATTTTGGACTACATTATGAGAAATACAGACCGTGGCCTTGATAACTGGATGATTAAAATCAACTGGAACACCGAAGAAGTTTCAATTGTCTCGGACCCTATTCGTCTGAATGAAACTGACCATCTGGGTGACGACGAACCGACTCCGCCTGCCCGCCCTGTTTCTGTAAACTCGCAAGGTAAACCCTCGCGCACAGCCCCCTATCGACGCCAGGATGCTATGACAGCATCTAGTCGCGCTGGAACGCCATTGAATGCAGCAGAGCTGGCTCAGGCCACAATTTCAATCGGGGCCATCGATAACAGTTTATCTTGGCCCTGGAAACATCCTGATGCTGTAAGTGAACTTTACTTCCGCTTTTTTCTAATACATCCAGTTACTAACAGTGTAAATAGTGGCGCAGTTTTCCATTTGGTTGGCTCTTCCTCCCAGTTTCTCTTATTGGCCAACCGTTCTCTCAAAAAACTCGTGAACATTTCTTACCTCTTCTCACATCTACTGCTTGGTGGACGGAGACTCAAACCGCCCTGAGAGCTGTGTTTAGTCAGGACTCAGATTTCAAGGAAAGCATGTTTGCCCGACAAATCGCGGTCATGAAAGGCCAAGCCTGGAATGTTGTTGAGACCCTGAAGCAGCGGGATCATGGACCTCTTGAACTTACCCGAAGAACCCGAGTATGTGTTTGGGATGACCTAGTGAACATCCCTGTGGCGATTCCACTCCGTGCCCCATCAACCGATGCTAATATGCATCGGGCGAACGGGAGGAGCCAACTCCACGAGGAAATGGATATTGGAGCCGCCATTACCCCAGAGCCTAGCACGCATGGCCATCGGGATCTATTGAGCTTCGGGTCACCCACAAATGAACTACCTAACCCTAACCGCTTCGAGCTGTCCCGTGACCGGGCATCGATGGACTCCAATGCTGCAGACGGCATAGTGAGTCCTAGGTCGCTCGACGCTTCTCGCCTTCGAAACATTGAGAATTTCGAAGAAGGCGGCCGGAAGCTGGCCACAAGCTGGGCAGCCACCGCCCCTAGACAACACGCGCACCATTCCAGGCGCAGGTCGCACCTCGGCGGCCCCACACATAAGAAACGCAACTCTCTCTCCCAACGCCGAGACAGTGCGTTTGACTTCGGTGCTGACGACCTCGAGGGTGACCTTGGATATGCCGCCGCTGAGGAAATGGACGGCCACGAACGCAAGGTGATCGTCGAAAGACTTGAAACAGTCAAGAGCAAAAACCCCGTCTTCACCTGGTGGTGATCCCCTCGTCTTCTATTTAACGGTTTCTTTCTTCCATTCATTTTTTTTTCTGGCCTCTTTATCCTCTCTAACGCCCTTTTCCAGGAATGTATACATTTCTTGACCAGTTACCCCTTTCCCTCATATTCTATCAATATAATGGTTTTCCTTCTCCTGTCTATTTATATGCTATGTTTTCTTTTCACCGTTCACCCCTTCTACCTCTTATAAAAAGATCAAAATTGTTCTTTTCATGATACGTGCATGCGGAGTTTAGCGCTGTTGACTGTTGACTTGTGGCATAATTATACGCCTCTAATATGTGACCCATAATGTTCCCTTCGAAGTGTGTATTATTTCATTTTCATGGTGTTAACCATAGAAGCGACTCTTTTGGTTTCGTCGGATGGCCATCTCCTTTGACGCGCTTGAATGCGTTTTCCTTTTCTGCTGTACAATAATTTTATGGCATTTAGGATGTTTGTTTCTATTTTTATCTTGGCCTTCTTTTATTACATAATGTGTCACATGACCCGGGGAGGCGCTTGGTTTATCCGCGCTAGGCGCCCCAATCTTTTATCTTATCTTGCATGGAACTCGATCTTGGTGCGTCACTTTCACTTCCTTCAAGCCATATTAACTCGACATCGCTTTCAGCCTCGCCTTCATGCCTCCACTCGACTCACCGTGGGGGCAGAGCAAACGGAAAGACGCGTCTTGAGCGACCTCTTTGCTTGCTGTTTCACTTATCTTTCATCCCTCCAACTCGCCGCAACCTTCCTTCCAGGACGCAATCAGCCTATCTCTCTCTCTACGCAATATTACCTCTCACTCGATGGAACAACCTAGGCTGCAACCGAGTCCTTTTGGCAGTCACTTCACCAACAAGAGCCCTCAGTAGATTTTTATTCGCCGAGAATTTGCTCTTTCCTACATCCTCTTCCAACCACCCTCGAACTCACGCCGAGGTTTGAGATTCGACGCGCGACGATGAGCTACCCATCTGCAGCCCTCCTGCTGGACCCAAAGGCATATAAAAGGCAGAATACAACTGGTAATATTTCACCTCTCGTTCATAAACCCAAAACTGGCTGTGCAATGGATGGTGGTCAAGCAGTCAGAACTCGACACTTGAGCGAGCCACTCATTTCGCAGCCTGTTGCACCACTTTCGATTTCTCGGAAGCGACAAGCAATAGATGATTTTCATTTGTTCGGAACTTCAGATACTTACACATATCTCAAAGGCCGACCTACCACAGGGAATAATAACAAACCTCCTGATTCCCCGGGACTCTCTGCATCTGAAGCTCCCCCCGGAACATCATTTGACCCAAAGCTTCTCCTCCAGCCTCGACAATACAAATTCCCGACAAGACCTTTTCCGAATTCGAACCACTCTCAAGACTTGAACAGTTCAACCCGTAGCCGCAATGGCACCAAGACTCCTACAAACACGAACTCCAGTACGTCAGTGACGGGAAATTTGCCGCCAGAGTCAAACAAGGCACCGGCAGCAGCACACAGCAATATGATTGAGGACATATATGGGGTTGAAAGACGGGAGAACCAGCCACAAAAACGAGTCAAAGTCGATAAAGGGCCTTCCACAGGCACTAACGGTGGGCCAGATGCAAGATTCTCGGGTACTAGCAGCTCGGCTCTTGGAAGCTACATGAAAGAAAAGCTGGATGATAGTGGAGCTACTGTCACTGCAAACAACCCAATTGACCTTACTGCAGGTATGTCTGGAGTATTCACTTACGGCGAGACGAAGATAAATGAATTGACAATAATCTTAGAAAAAGACGATAGGAACGATGACGATGTCATTTTTGTTGCCAATAAGGAGAAAGGCGCCGAAGAAGTGTGCTACGGGAAGATTGAGGGCGCAACAGTACACGCGCATATGATCCCAGCCCTTCCCAAATCTGCGTTTGGTGCGACCGCATCAAGTTGGCCGTCTATACGCTGTCAATTGGTCCGGACGAGAAGTCACAATATAACGATTGACGTCCGCGATGTGGCTGGAAATTCGTTTGGAGTTTTAGATAAACATGTTTCTGTGGCTTTGGCGCCTCTACTTGATATGACATTTGATTTGAGAACCCAAGCCCGTCTTGATGCACGCCGGAGACAGCCAGATGAGCAGCCTGGCCAGGCCTGCTCTGAAATATTCCGCATCTCGATCAATCTATATGGCCCGAGACGGATTGCTGATACCATCGGCCGTGTTTTAAGCCAGAAGAATATTTGGCTCGGGATACCCAATTCAGTTGAGGCTGGCATTGCGACTTACAACCCTCATGCTGAAAGGCGTCGATTAATGGCAGCTGCATCACAGCAACAACAACCTCAGCAAACGCCCAGATATGCTGTTCAATCCGAAGTCCGCACGGCAGAAGAAATTAGCAGTGCCGTTACGAAAATGTTTGACCAGCTCCAAAGTGCCCAGAATCTCCCTGAAATGGAAACCCCTGACTTACTAGAGACTCAACTGCTTCCACATCAAAAACAGGCCCTCGGGTTTATGATGGAAAAAGAGAAACCACGCAAAATAAGCACAAACGAAGCAGAAAACAACTCACTCTGGAGAGTTGAACAAAAGGGAAATGGACGAGTTTATCGTGAGATCATCAGTGGCGTAACTCTTGCAGTAGAACCTCCACAGGTCCTAGGTGGTCTACTGGCAGATATGATGGGACTGGGCAAGACTTTAAGCATTTTATCCCTCGTATGCTCGTCTCTGTCGGATGCTACGGCCTGGGCATGTGAAAAGCCTGCAGACCCGTCCTTGATAAACGCAAAAACTACGCTCTTGGTATCTCCCCTCAGTGCTGTCGGGAATTGGGTAAGCCAGATTAAAGAGCACATCAAGGACGGTGCTCTTTCATACTATGTTTTCCATGGACCGAATCGAACAGAAGACCCGAAGGAACTAGCACGGTATGACATTGTCATCACTACATACACAACTATTTTAAGTGATGTGTCCGGTAAAAGCTCCAAGAGAGGTACGAGCCCGCTTGTGCGAATGAACATGTTCCGCATTGTTCTTGATGAAGCGCATATTATTCGAGAGCAGAACGCGGCTCAAAGTCAAGCTATATTCCAACTCAACGCGCAACGGCGATGGTCTGTCACCGGAACTCCGATCCAGAACAGACTTGAAGACCTGGGAGCGGTGCTGAAGTTCCTGAGGCTATCACCTTATGATGAACGAGGCCGATTTGCAGCGCATATAGTTTCACCTTTCAAAACCGAGAATCCCAACGCCATCACCAACCTGCGTGTGCTGGTTGATTCATTTACTCTTCGTAGAGTAAAGGACCGTATCAATTTGCCTGCTCGACATGACAAGACCGTGATGCTTACTTTCACTGAGCAAGAGAGGAGACTCCACGATTTCTTCAAGAAGGAATCTAATGTCATGATGAATGTTGTTGCTTCAGAAACCCGCGGAAAGGCGACTGGTAAAATGTACCATATTGTCTTGAAGGCCATGATGGTACTCCGGCAAATCTGCGCTCATGGCAAGGAACTATTGGACAAGGAAGATCGGGAACGTTTCCGAGGACTTACTGCAAACGACGCCATTGATATTGAGGAGTTGGATGACGACCATTCTACCACAGCTGCTAGTAGAAAGGCGTATGAGATGCTGTCGTTGATGAAGGAGTCATCAGCTGATACCTGTGCTCGTTGTTCAAACTACATTACCTTGCAGTCCGACGACAGTCCCGGTCCCTGTGATAAAAACGCCATGGTAGCAGCCATTCTGCCCTGCTACGATATTTTGTGTGCCGAGTGCTTTGTCCCCATTGCACCTAGACTGGATGAACTAGCTGGCAAACCCGTACAGGTATCTTGCAGCTTTTGCAACTCCGTGATAGCTCCGGCTTACTCTGTCATCACCACGGCAGGGTTCGAGGAATATCAAGCCTCGCTACTCGACAACAAAAAGAACCGCAAACAGACTAAAGAATTCGGGCTTTACGAAGGGCCTCACACAAAGACAAAAGCTCTGATTTCGCACCTTTTAGACACGGCTGAGGATAACAAGAAATCCTCCTGCCAACCACCGATCAAAAGTGTTATATTTTCTGCTTGGACATCGCATCTTGATTTGATAGAGATTGCTCTCGAGGAGAATGGGTTGACGGGCTATGCCCGTCTAGATGGCACCATGTCCCTGAAGCAACGAAATGCATCCATCGAAACCTTTTCGACAGACAATAATGTTACAATCCTTCTAGTAACCATTGGAGCTGGCGGAGTCGGACTCAACCTGACTGCAGGCTCGATGGTTTACATCATGGAACCACAGTACAATCCCGCGGCTATTGCCCAGGCGGTCGACCGTGTGCATCGAATTGGTCAGACGAGAGAAGTCACCACCATACAGTTCATAATGAACGATAGCATTGAAGAGAAGATCACTGAGCTGGCCAAGCGGAAGCAGAAACTTGCTGATATGAGCTTGAATAGAAAGATGGATAGACGCGAGCTTCAAAAGGAGAGGCTTGAGGAATACAGAAGCCTCTTCAAGTGAATGCCTGCTTTATCACACCAGTGCTTCATCCAATGCTGCTTCACCAGCTTTCTCACATTTCCTTTTTTTTCTCATATCTTTTTTTACACGGCCCCCTTTCGGGCTTAATGGCAGGATTTACGACTAAATGAAAAACAGCATAGGAGACTGGAGTTAGCTTGAGAATTGAATGGTTTTTATTTGGAGGAAATTTCCCCCGGCAGTGATGAAATCTGCTTTAATGTCTTCATAGTCTTACCCCCTTTCCCCCCAATCCCCCTTTACCCCTTTCGATACCCCCCCCCCCCTTACTTGTTATATGTTACCAGCACTTCATTTTCTGTTTAAATATTGAACTTTGCGCCTCTTTTTACAATGAACCAAGTTCCCTCTCTTCAAGTTGTCCCTTGATTACCAGGGACCATAATGAAATGCCGAGTAGCGGTCTTTATAATACCACACAGCAGCCATCGGATTCCCTTTGGCGATTCTTCAAATGCTCAGTTTCGCTGACAATATTGCCTGAAAAGGGCCATTTGGTTTTCATACATATACAGACAATTAGCTGTATAAATCACAGGGGTATCATAATATTAAAGAAATACATATCGGATCAAGGCATACCCGCTTCAAAGAATCTCCAAGCAGCGAAGGGTATGTATTATATCCCCCGACTAACAGCTTCCAGCAGCCCATCAACCCTTTCTGCGAGTTTCTTCATCTGCTTTCGTTTCCGTCTGCGTATCCTTTCCGCCTCCCGTAACTCATCTGCAAGCTGCCGTATCCTGGCTTCTTGCTCTGCCTCGCTACTCCCTATGCCGGGAAGTACGCTAATGAGATATTCGATCTGCTGCTCTTTTATAATCAAATCTCTAGCCAATTCTCTCTGTCGCTGGGCAAATGTATTCGGCGAGTCAGGCCGTGGTGGAAGATCCTTGTTTTGATCTTGTGCTCCTCCAGAGGCCTCTCCTCCTTGCTGCTGCTGCTGCTGTTGCTGCTGTTGCTGCTGGGGAGTCTGGTCTTTCTGGTCTTGTCCTTGCGCTTGCCCCGAAGCCGGCTGAGCGGCCGGAGTATTTGGCGGCGCGTTCTTTGGTATTTTCTTCAGCTGCGGGATTGCGGTTGGGACGTTTGGTGGAGGTATGGCAGGCGAGTGGTCATGGTAGGTAGTGAGATAGCAGAGCGTAGCGTAGAGCTGGGTCGCCAACTACATAGCAGCATTAGTATCTTGCCTCTTTGCATATAGCTAGCCAGGATAGTCCCTTTCGTACCTGATCAAGGCATGTTTGAAGCTGCGTGAGGATATCCGCCATGGTGCTCGAGCTCGCTGGGTGCAGTCGCAAGAGGCCTGTCGTCGCGCAACCAACCAGTAAACGGTTATAAACCGACCAGCGCAGTGGTTTCTGTGTATTCAAGCTCGAGAAAGAGGCAGCGCAGTGGTGGCAGCAGTTGTCGAGTGGCTATTCGTGTTGAGCGGCGCTGCGTGAAGGAAAAGCGAAGAAAGAGAGAGAGAGAGCGCGAAAGATAAGAAGGCAAAAAAAAGCTTCAACCAAACAAAGCTTCAGCAACCGCAAACACGCCATGCTCTGCGCAAGAACAGCTCCACGATGCTACGGAACACACATCTACGGCTTAAAGGCACTATACCCGAGGCCGTTTTCGACTGAGAAGCCTTCACTGCCTGTGCCGCCAGCTTCTCCGACCTCGCAGCACAATGACCTGCGCTCGTTCCTGGACTACGCGGAGAGAACCTCGCTCTCGCGACAGAGCACAACCTACGTGGGGACGCTGTACGAGTATACGGTGCAGCAGAGCCTGAAGAGACACTGCATCGACCTCACTCGCATCGGGGGCCGTGCAGACTGCGGCATTGATCTTGTTGGGACCTGGTCTTTGCCGCCGTTGAGGTCGACGTCGACAGCTGCTCAGCCGCTACGAATACTGGTGCAGTGCAAGGCCGTCAAGACAAAGGTCGGGCCGAATCTGATACGGGAGCTTGAGGGGACGTTTTCTGGAGCACCTGTGGGCTGGAGGGGGGAGGGGATACTGGGGATGTTGGTTAGTACGCGGGAGGCTACAAAGGGTGTTCGAGACGCGCTGGTCAAGAGTCGATATCCGTTGATTTGGGCTCTGGCCGAGCTGGACGGATCCATGCGGCAGTTCCTATGGAACAGGAGGGCAGCTGAAGTTGGGCTGGAGGGTTTAGGGGTGCAGATCAGACACGGGGGAGAGACAGACCCTATGAAGAAGACTGTTGTCTTAACTTGGAACGGAGAGGAGATAGGGCCAGAGGTCGTGAATACGGGTTGATACAGTGTTGATTCGGCTATATACATCCACCAATGGGCCACGATGTCTCTGACGGGACTTCTGAATCCAACCACGGCTGACAGCAGTCCTATAGCTGGGATCCGTGGGGTCATGGCTACAGATAACTAGCTCAGCGAACAGCATACTCTACGCCTCAAATTCGGGCGTCATTGATTCCAGCCTGGCTTGGGCCATCCGTTCTCACCTCCGCCCTTCTCTGGCCAGCCATCCGGGACAGCTGCATAAGTAGGCAGGACATACTGCTTCTCACACTTGGCCGCCGTGCACTCCAGATTACACAGGCCAAACGTGAAGCAGTAGCATTCCCCGGCCGGCGGGCAGTATACCGGTTTCTTCTGCATGATCACTGTCAAACATAAGCCAGTTAGCATACGAGACCCGTTGAACAAAGCAGGACACAGGCGGAGAAAATATACATACTGTGCCACATGTACTCCATGATTCTCCCGCTGATATCGTCAGGCAGGTTGGTCTCGACAAGCCATTTCCGAATGCGCTCATAGTCCGCCTTAGGCCGCAGCATGACCTGTTCCCGTGTGGCAGCAAACTGGGACGAGCATGTCGCACCCACCTCTGCAGGCACTTCGGTACCGGGGAACAACGTCTTGAAGACAGCTGCAAAGGCGAGCTCGGTCTGCTGGCGAACGATGGGCCCTTCATCAACGGGCTTTAGCGGGTGCAGTTCCACGGGACAGCCTGGTATCCAGGTACATCTCAGTGGCGCATATCCCGTCTTGACCACTGCCTGAAGCTGTAGCTTGCTTATAACCGACGCACCGTCTGCGGGCGTAGAAGAAGTATAGTCGTTTAGCGCCATCTGCACCACCTGTCCGCCCAACCGGTCCATGGTCTGTACATACCGTATATTGGGTCGTCGTTGTGCCATTGGTACCGCCGTCCATGCATGAATATCATAAAGTCTGGCAGCGAGTCGTATCGATCTATGATATACCTGAGACAGTAAACAAACAAGCATCAGCCCGGTGTCTCGAGTTTTTTGACTACGACGGTAATTAATTATAAATAAAATAAAACGGCTTGAGGCTCACGTCAAATACACCATGGCCTCCCTCCCCTTGTTCACAGGCACCGAGAGGCCCGAATTGCTCGCAGCGTCACCGTCGGCAACGTAGATATTCGCCTTCCAGCCCGCCAGTTGCTCCTGTATCCACGCAGTGTCGTCGGCCTTGACGCTGGCGACGACCAGCTCCCTCGACGCCGTGGCTAGCTTGCCGGAGCCAGGTCTCTGTGGCTGCTGCTGCTGTGAGCTCGAGAGGCCATGGGTTCTGCTCGGTGGCTCTCTGAAGAAGAGGAAGTAGAGGGTGAAGACGGTGGTGATGGACACGAGGATGAACAGCTGGTTGATGCGCTGGGCCTGCCGCGGTCGATGGACAGGCATAGCTTGGTCTCGCTCGTCAGGCGGTCATTGAACTGCTCTATAGGTGTTTCAGCAGGCTGCGTCTCCTCATCGCCGCCGCCGGACGTTTGCTGGGTGCTGCTCGTTGGTTGTGCGCGGGTTGGGGTTGTTTCGCTGCAGATTTTGTGGCTTTCTTTTTGGATGATCTCCGGCTTGTGATGTCGACGACGGTGGGACAGGCAGCGATGCTAGGCAAAGATAATTGCTCCGGCAGAGGCGTGAATACACAGGTGAAATAGGAATCTGTGGCCTGTCGAGGCGTGTTCTCGAGAAGACACGCAGCTGGCGGTTGTCTCTGGTCTATATAGATCGATCGTATGTGGCTTGAACTCACGCGAGCAGGCAATAGTTAATAGAGTAAATAATAAATACTACAAAAGACAATACAAAAAATAGATAAATACAAAACAGCGCCAAAAAAAAAAATTCCTCCGTGGGTATCAAAACGAGGCCAACTCCGTCCGGGTCATATGTGTTTCGTGATTGCTGTGGGCTGATATCACATCCGGTCGTGCGAGGTCCCTGAACTACATGGCCTGCCAGAAGTAGTTCGCATAGAAGAACCGTGAGAACTTGGGGTCGATGTTGACGACGTGGACGTCTCCCTTTCGGCTGTTGCGGATGATAGCCTTGTTGTAGTTCCCTGCCTCGTCCGTGTCGACATCGATGCCCAGGGACCGGTATATCTTGAGCCGTAGTCTACCACCCAAACGGTCAGTATGCATTCCCGGAAGTCATTCAAAGCCAAAGACAGAAGAAGCAAGCCTCTTACATGGTAGCATCGTCGGCCTCGCGTTCTCGCCTGGCATGCTCGTCCCCCTCGAGGCCCTGCGCGTCCAGCTCCGCCAGCCGGGCCTTCAGCGACTCCAGCTGGGCCTCCAGCCGCTCGCTCTCGATCTCCAGCTCAGACGCAGCCTTTGCTATGCGGAACTTCTCGGTGTCCAGCTCGACGATGGACGCAGCATGGCGGGCGGGATCATGCGACTCGACGGTCTCCTTGTGCTGGGCGTTGAGCGTGCTGAGCTGCCGCGAGAGCTTCCGCAGCGAGTTCTCGACCTCCTGGAAGCGCAGCTCCCGCGACTGCTGCAGAGACGAGAGCGAGTCGTTGATCCGAGCCAGCGCAAGCTTGTCCGGCTGGATGTTGAAGTTGGTTATTGTATGGTGGATGAGCTGTAGAGAAACCGTCAGCCACGCGCACATCGGCCGTAGAATCCATCCAGGAGCCTTACAGTAGCGGGATCCTCCTCCAGCAGCATCGTGAGCGGCGTTTTAGACGTCTTTTCACTGTTATACTGCTGTCAATCGCGTCTTGTTGTCTGCGTCCCGCCGGCGTTGTGATGTTGATGCTGATGTTGACGTCGATGTTGACGTTTTCGGTTGTTGCAGCAACTTCAGCTATTTTTTTCTTCCTCCCCGCAAGCCGGAAAGACGCCACGGACAACACTCAACGCCAGCACCAGCACCGGCTCCGGCTTCTTCGACGACGGCATCTAGAGCGAGAGACCTCTGACTTGCGGTGTTTGCCTCTTGCGCAGAGACGCTTTTTTCCACGCAGAAACAGGCCCGATGATGGCTTCGCTACCTTGTACGTGGCTATGCAGACCTCCAGGCTCCCGCATTCCAGCAGCTTGCTAACCCAGGTTTGCCCTATATAAAGACGCCGCGGACGCTGAAAGGTCAGTAAGACAAGCCTCTACACGCTGCCAGTTGTGTGAGCAGACCAGCAGACTGACAGATAACCCGCCATGGACAGTCCTCTCAAGCCCGCAGAGCTGCAGGTCCTGCGCGCCCAGTACGAGAAAGAGGGCGAATACGTCGGCGTCCAGACCAAGTTCAACTACGCCTGGGTGTGTTCTCTCTCTCTCTCGCTGCCCGTTGTAGGTCCCAGCTAACGTCTGTACAGGGCCTGATAAAATCGAATTCCCGGCCGGAGCAGCAGGAGGGCACCCGGCTGCTGTCTGAGATCTTCCGCACCGCCCCCGAGCGTCGACGAGAGTGCCTCTACTACCTCGCCCTCGGCAACTTCAAGCTGGGCAACTACGGAGAGGCTCGCCGGTACAACGACCTCCTGCTCGAGCACGAGCCGAACAACATGCAGTCGGCCAGCCTGCGCACCCTGATCGATGACAAGGTCGCCAAAGAGGGCCTCATGGGTGCCGCCATCATCGGCGGTGTCGCCGTCGCTGCGGGCTTGATCGGCGGCCTCATCATGAGAGGAGCCAGAAAGCGATGAACATAGATACTTTATGACGGTCTCTTTTTTACATTTCTTTGGTGCTTTCATGGCCTTCTTTCTTTTTTTTGTACTATCTCGACTACAGCTACTTTTATCCTCGGATGTACTTTTGTTTTTGTTGGCAGGCATTCGGAAGGGCGTTCTGTTGGCTTTTTGAAGACCCAGTCTCTCCTCATGGTACACAGCGCTTAATGAAGACTTCATTCACCTTTTTTTTGACTTGACTTCCGGCCTTCTTTCAGGCCTTTTTTTTCTATTATATTTGATATCAATCAGAATTTTGATATCTTCATCTTCTTGCAGTGAAAGTCTGCTGACTAAGCAACGACGTCATCTTCTTTTCTTTCTGCGCCGGAAGAAAAAAGAACAAACAAGCAAACGCAAAGGAAAAGGCAGAGCAAAGCGAAGAGACGCAGAAACGAAAGCAGAGAAAAAAAGCAGAGAAAGCAGAGAAAGAGGGTGAAAGAAGTGAAAGCAGCGGAGAGCAGAAGACGCAGCAGAAGCGAGACGAAGCTTCGCGAACCTCCGAAGACCCTCGGCCTGCATCGACTGATCGATCACTGGGCCAGCCCAAGCCCCCGTCGTCATCGCCGGCCGTTTGTCCTTTTGCGCATCACCAAACTTGTTCCTCTGGCCACCGACAGCCCTCCGGATACGCTCAGCCACCCGAGCAGAGGCTCCCTGCTTTTCCGTCCACGCTGTTGACAGCTCGATCTCCCTGCTCGCTGGCCCCGATAGACACCCTGTTGCATCCTCCCCCGCGAGCAAACCCGCATTCATTTTCGCTATAAATACGAAATTCTAGAACCACCCAGCGTTCGTGGGGCCGCTTCACTCTATAATACCGCATGCTGCCCCGCTGACGGTCACTCACATCCATCTTCCGGTCCTCCATTTCCTTCTAACGGTTGGAGCGTTCAGTCTATACTGAATTTATTTCAAGCTTGAAAAAGGGGGCTGGCTCCCGCCTTTTTTACCGCCTCGGTGCCCACCAGTTCATCGCTCTCAGCAACCATGGCTGATCGTGTGCCGGGAGATCGAATCTTCTGCCATGAGTGTGAGCATGTGTGGCCCCGGGAATCCCATGGACTGACCTGTCCGCGCTGTCAATCAGAGTTTGTTGAAATAGTAAGCATATCTACTCTTTTTTTTTCCCTTTCAGCCATGTCGATAAAAAAAAAAAAAGGCTTCTCTGTATTGATCAGCTCACGCTAACAATAACATCCAGCTTGATGAAAATCAGACTATTCATGAAACCATACATGGAAACAACCAGGATGCCGATAATACAGGCAACAATACTCCTGGAGGTCAACAACAGCAGTCCCCTCGTAATGCATCCGCCGAAGCCGATGGTGCTATGCAGGTAGATAGCCACCCTATCTTTGATACATTCAACTCTTTCAACTCACCCAGGCGCGTTACCCGCCATCACTACCAATCCCCAGACGGTAGCTTCCAGTTTACGAGCACTACTATCAGATCTCCCGATGGCAGAGGTATTGGCGGAGGCATCAGAATGGGAATGGCCACCGGCCCCGCAGCTGGAGAGGACGCCCTCGGACCCTTGTTTCGCACCTTCAATACAATATTGCGGGGGATAGCCGAAACACAGCCCAACAGAGGAGGAATACCACCGGGCTATGGCACCCAGAGTCCAAGTAATGACCAAGCAAATAATTATCGGGACTCCAACCCCCCAGAGATCTTAGGCGGAGGTTTATATCCGCGAGACGCAGATCGTGCACAGCGCAATGCGGAACCAGTACTAAACATTAACGAGTAAGTCCATCCAGACTCTCTTGTACCATACCTCTCAAGAGCGACCCAACCTAACTATTATTTCTCTCCAGTATTCTGGCCATTATGCATGGCGCTGCCAATCCAAACTACCGAGGAGGAGGGATGCCCATCTTACACCCCATTGCCGCTCTCTCCCAAGCTTTAGGGATGCAACACCACGGTGACGCCGTCTATTCTCAAGAAGAGCTCGACCGCGTGATCTCTCAACTGGTAGACCAGAACATAAATGGAAATGCTCCTCCACCAGCATCCGCAGACGCCATCCGATCTCTCCCAAAGGTCAAAGTCGACAAATCCATGCTAGGCAGCGAGAACAAGGCCGAATGCTCCATCTGTATGGATAACGTCGAATTGGACACAGAAGTCTCTATGTTACCCTGCAAACACTGGTTTCATGAGTCCTGTATCACCGCTTGGTTAAACGAACATGACACATGCCCGCACTGCCGACAGGGAATCATGGCAACCTACCAACAGACTCACGGAGGATCCCAGCAACAACAACAGCAACAACAACAGCAGCAGCAGCAGGGTCAGAATACACAAGGTTCTACAAATGGATCTATTGGAAGTTCCAGCAACCCCATTGTTATCCCCTCAGGCTCTGCACAGGGTCAATCATCTAGCACGTCAGATATGTCTCAAAGAGTTGACCGGCCTAGCCGATCTTTGTTAGATCCACCTGGTGCGCCACCTCAAAGATCTAACTCAGATAACAACTCTGGCGGTGGTTTAGCCGGGTGGATGAGATACCATTTTGGAGGAGGCACTTCCTGATAACCCCGGGGCAATTCAACATTCCAACTCACATCTCTTTTTCTTTCCTTCCTCCCTTACTTCTTCCATATACTATTATACCCCAAGGATGACTTCATGAATTTCCCTTCGCACCTTTTTTTCCTTTTCATTTTTCAACGACATCACAAAATTCGGATTTGAGGGA